CAGGGCCTAGCCCACAGGAGCTTGGAGAGCCGGGGTGGGAGGCCTAGCATTTGCCATCGGGGGTGGGGGGCGGCCACCCCCTGGCATGTCTGGGCTCCTCCAGCGATGGTACCAGGCAGCTCCCAGCAGGTGCCCACCAGGTCCCCCTGGAATGGGGGGTCTGCCCACTCTGAGCCCCACCAGCGAGCCCCTGGCTCTGAGCCCTTGGCAAATAGAGATGCCAAGGCACTTCCAAGGCCAAGGGCCACACAACGGGGAGAGGAGACCTCACGAGGGAGGGGACAAGGAGGGGGCCCAAGGGTGCGGGGAAGGAGTGGCAGCCCAGGTGAGGGGTGAGGGGGATGTGGGGGGAGGGGAGGCTTACAAAGAGGAGGAAGAGGAGGAATGCAGCAGCCCCCTCCTGCTATCTTATACTGCTGGGGACAGCCGGGCGGCTGTGCTCCTGGGGGAGACCAGGAAGCCGGCCAAGGCTTGAGCAGAGCCCGGAAGGGGTGCGGTGGGAAGGCACAGGACGTGGTGGGGGCGGGCACCTCCGTGCCCCCTTTTAATTCATAGGGACCCTCCTGAGCCCCTTCATGTGCTGTCTCGGGGCAGCAGGAGAGTGACAGGCCCAGGAGGCAGCTGGTGACATCTTGTCCCCAGTCCTCCGCTCCCCTCCTCCCCCATTAGTTTACAGACAAGGACGCTGAGGACCCCTGAGACCCAGGCCAGCAGGAGCAACCGAGGGAGAGCCTGCGCCCAAGCCCAGGCCTGGAGAGTGAGGGGCTCTGGTCCAGGGGTCAGGAGTGGCTGGGACTCCCTGAAAGCGTTAGGTTTCATCCCTCCTTTGGGGAAAAGAGATGCTGATCTGTCACCGCGACATCTGGAATCTTCTGTGAAAAGCTTAGAGGAACTTGGGTTGTTTGCACTCAACAGCTGGAGAAGCCGGAAGGGCTGCAGGTGGGACATGGAGGGGTTTGAGGGTCTTCCCCATGGCTGGTGGTGAGGGCAGGGTCCCGGGGTAGCCCTGGCCTGACACCCCTCCTCTCCTTCCACACCCAGCCCTCGGCAGCCCCCACCGGGAGTGGCAGATGAAGAGGAAGTGGACGTCCCAAAGGTGGTTGTCCCCAGAAGTACAGGTGTGGGACAGTAGGGGACGTCGGGGAGCAGGACAGCGCCCTCCCCCCACCCCCAGAACAGGTGGGCACGCCTGGCCTAGCCGGAGTCTCCATCTGACTCCCTTCAGCCCGGGGACCACCGGCCTCGCCCCAGGGGGCGTCTGTGCCGTGGCCGTATGTGTCGGGCCATCCTGTACCCCCGGGGAGCACTGGGTTGGTGTGCCTGTGCCTGTGTGAGTTTTCTGGAACATTCCCTGGGCTCTTCTCTGGTCCCCCTGGGATGGCCAGTGGCTGCAGGCCCCATCAGCTGCATGAGGAGCCAGAGGTCCGGGCTGCTCAGGGAAGCGTGTCAGAGCCAGTGACACCCCTTCCCCACCCCAGGGGGCTCCTGACAAACCCCCAGTGAGTCGGATGCAGGCCAGGCCTGAGTGAAGCTCAGAGTGGGGACATTCCCGCATCAGCCACCCGCATCTGCAGGTGTGCTGGCCGCTCAGACAGGCCTGGAGCTGACGGGACACCGGATCACTCCAGCACAGGGGCCACGCGCAGAGGAACACCTTCAGCATGAAGAGCCGAGGAGGGCAGTGGGTCGGTGGGCCCCCTTCTGCAGCTCTGTGGCCCGGATTCTCCATGGCCGCCCTGTGCCGGGGCATGCGTGCCAGGGGAGAGGAGCCGAGGGCAGGGACTGGGCCTCCCCATCCAGCTCTGAGCCCAGCAGGGTGACCCTCCCCTGAAGGACCCTGAGCACAGCTGGGTCCCCGCAGCCCATCGAGGGAGACATCCAGAGGGCCTCCACGGGTGGGTGGGGGGCCGGAGCCAGCAAGGCCCAGGAGCTCAGCTCCTCCCTCTGTCCCTGCAGTCAGGGGTGGGGACTGAAGGCTCCCTCCCCCCACCCGCCTCCATCCACTCCTCGGGGCTCCTGGGAGCCTCCAGCCAGTCCCCCGCAGGGTGACACGGCTGCCCAGCCTCTGCTACCCCAGCCCTTCACACGAGGGGGCCACTGGGGACCGAGTGGGAGCAGAGAGAGTGGGGTAGGGGTGGGCCTTCAGGAGCTTGGGGGCCAAGGGGGTGCAGTCCCTGCTGGCACTGGCTGCCACGTCATTGCCCCCCTCCCCTGCTGCACACCCCGGGGGCTCCATCAGGCCTGAGCACTCGGTCCCCAATTTGTCCACCTGGCTCACTCTGGCACAACTCTGTCTTCCATCAAGCCGCAGCTCAAGTGCCAGGAATCCTCTGCCTCCCTCCAGCGGGGGAGACAGACAGACAGACAGTTCTGAGGCCTGTGACCCTTCTCCTGCTCCTCAGCCTGCTGAGAACTTTCCATGCTCAGGAAGGGGGACAGTTGGGGTGATTCTCTGCACCCGACCGGCCGTGAACCTTTGGGGGTGGGAAGGAGCCAGGTTTGGGGGTTCAGGTCTGACTTCTGGGAGGATTTTCTCTGAGGGCCGAGTATTTGGGGGAAATTGGTCAGGAAAAGGCTTTGAAATTCTTTTCCCATCTTTCGGGCCTGAGTAAGAGTTGGCGATGTGTTGGGGGGGGGGGGGCGCGTGAGAGAAGCTTCTGGAGCCCGTCTGGTGCAGGCTGGGTGTTTCTGGTCTGCTTTATTTCCTCCGCTGTGAAGCGTGCTGGAGCAGGGTACAAGTTTCACGGAGATAGCATGGTCTAGAGAGAACCGTGACGCTCAGAGGACACCCCTGCTGCGTCCCGGCCAGCACGGAGCAGGGCCTGGAGTCCGGGTTCCCCTAGATCCAGAGGGGTCGTGGATGTCTTGGGGGCAAGGTGGGGGTTAAGTTAAGCCAGCTTTAGCCAGGGGTGGCAGTGATGGCGGGGTTACCGCTGAAATGAAAATGGCGTGAGGTGTGTGCTGGGCAATGACCCCTACCACGGTGGGCGGGGTGCACGAGCCTTGAGGGCCTCACCAGAGGGGCAGAGATGGTCAGGAGCGGTCAGGTCCAGGGGGCAGGGGGGCTTTTCCAGGCCATAGCACCAGGTCACTTACAGCCGACTGAGTGACTTTAAGCGGGAGCCTTGGAGAAACCAAATGCAGGAAGGCTGCGCACTGCGAGCGGGCACCAAAGAACTCGCAGGGGAAGGTGAGGAGGAACCTAGGGCGTTTCTTACCCCTCGGAACCCAGCTGCGGCCAATGTCAAGACAACGCCGGCTTTTCTCAGCCTGGCTTGAAGGTGGATTTTGGTGTCTTATCCGTTTTTAGACGCCCACCCCTCCAAGGTCCCCCCCATCCTCCAGAGCAAGCGAGGGGAAAGGGAGAGGCAGCGAGCGCACCTTTCAGGGGGACAGCTAGGCCCTCACAAGCGGGGTCTGCTGAGATGGGGGGGGTGCCTTGGATGTGTCCTGCGTTGGGGAGGAACGGATGGCCCCCAGGCCCAGAGCCTCGGGATTGTTTCTACCCCCGGCTTGCAGGCAGGCAGCACAGGGATAAGCTGTCCACTCTGCATCCCCTCTGGCCCTCGGAACCCGGGCCAGCACCATTGCCTTGGGAAGGCAGCCCGGGAGCCCTGGGGAGCAGGCTGTGACCCGCACCAGCCACCAGGGGACACTGGTGAGTTAGCCCAGGGCTGGGCGGTCCCCGAAGAGGCTGCTGGACCTTTCCAGAGGCCCGGCCCTTCCCTGGTTTTCCAGGGAACGCTCCGCTCACTGGATGGAAAGTCTGGGCACATGGGCGCTGACAGAGAACAGATGGTGGACAGGGTGGGGCTCCAGACCCATGGGGACACTGTTCCCAGGGCCCCCGGCCTCCTGCCTGGAGTGGCCACAGGAGCCATAAAACCCATTTACAGCACGTAGGCCTGAGCCCTGACTCCCGCCCCTCCACTCCGAGTTCTTCCAGCTGTTCCTATCCTGGAGGGGCTGCCCCGCCCTTGCCCTGGAGAACAGTCGGGTCAGGAGGATGTGTGCTGAGTTCGCCCCAGAAAGAAAAAGAGGAGGAGATGAGGAAAGCAACTCTGCCCTGCTCCCGTTCCCAGGCAGCTTTCCGGAGAACAGGGTGGCAGACAGGGGGCAAAAGGGCTCTCGACCCAGGGGAGGGGGTGTACGTGCCTTGTGGAGCCCCAGGGTGGAAGAGCCCCTGTCAGTGGGGTCTCTTGGGACAGCATCTGGGCCCCGGTGCTGGGAGGAGTTCCTCAAACTGCCTCCTCTGGGGCCGGGCGATAGTGCAGCAGGCCAGGTGCTTGCCTTGCATGGCACCCATCTGTTCTCTGGGCACAAGGGTGCTGACAGAGAACAGATGGACAGGGGAGGGCTCCAGACCCATGGGGACAACCTGTCCACTGTGCATCCCCTCTAGCCCTCAGGACCCGGGCCAGCACCATTGCCTTGGGAAGGCAGCCCGGGAGCCCTTGGAACCTGGAGAAGGTTAAGTCAACCTTAGCCAGGGGGCAGGGGGGCTTTTCTTAGTTTGGTCCCTGGCACCCCCATCTGGTCCCCCAAGCCCACCAGGAGTGCTCCCTGAGAGCACCGCCAGGTATAAACACCCCCCTCCGCCGCCCGCCAAGCAACAAACCCAACTAATAAACAAAAGAAAACTCTCCTCCTGGCCTGCTCTCTTCAGGGGAGACCAGAGATGTGTCCGTGGTCTGACTGACCCCAGCAGCAGAAGTGGGGGAGAAGGACAGAGAAGGGACATGAGGTCTTCAGATACACATCTGCTTCCGGGCTCAAAAGCTCAAAGTAGCTGTGCAGGGGAAGTCTCTGAGGGGGGTGGGGCTCAACAAGGCTGTGTGTGTGTGTGTGGGGGGGTTGCTCCTGTGGGTGGGGGTGTTGCAGAGAGTGGCCTGAGCCACCCAAAGAAAGTCGGGGAGAGAGAGAGACAAAGAAAGGGCCAGAGGAAGCCAGCGGGGGGGGGGGGGGGGCGGTGGGGGCAGGCGCCTTCAAGTGTGGTCAAAGGGACGGGGGCAGCAGGGGGCCTAGATGACCACGGACTGCAGCAGGCGGAAGCACATCATGAGGTCCAGTGGGATGGGCGGCTTCAGGTGGTTCCCGTCCAGCCGCAGGTAGCGGAGATGGGGCACCTTCTCCAGGTCCGAGAAGTCGTGGATGGCGAACAGGTTGCTGGGGCAGATCTGAGTCCCGTTGATCTCTGAGGGGAAAGAAGGGGGTTGGTGAGCAGGTGTGTGTGGAGGGGCGGCGAGGGAGTGGGTGCAGGGGGGAGGGAGGGCCTGTGATGGCTGAGAAGACCCCCTGGCTGCAACGTGTGCGTTCCTGCGAGCCTGGGTTTCTCTCAACTCACTTGCCAAGTGCACCAAGATGGAAACGAACTGAGGTGGGAAACCCTCTCTGGAGAGCCCTGGATGAAGCACCCGGAGGCCAGGTAGGACCACACCATGGGAGTCCCGTGCGCGAATTCCACACCTGGTGACCCCTGGGAGTTTCCGGGGGACGGTAGCCCTAAGCCAGCATTCACTTCTAGCTATGTTGCAGCTCTGACCTCTGGTCTTATACAGAATGGGTCTCCTGAGACGCCAGGGTGGGGGACCCTCACATCCTCAGGTGCCCCTCCTTGAAGGCTTGGCGCACGCTCTAGAGAACTGAAGACAGGGCTGTGTCCAGAGCCAGCCGGCCAGCTCTCGCCTCCCAGCAGGGGGACAGGAAGAAGGTTCTGGTCCCTGACACCAGGGGATGGGAAGAGGAGACCTGGGGCCGGCGGGGGGTGGGAGGCGGGTTCACATGACATAAGCCTTTCGGTTCGGACACTATTCTAGGAAGACCAGCGAGAGCGGGTGGCTTGGGGCCCCGTGTTGTGTGACTGGAAACTTCCTGCTTAGCCTCTTGCTGGGCGGTGCCTGCAGGGCCAGCGTCAGAGCGAGTTTGCACCCAGCCTTGTCTCTTCTCTAGTCCGAGGGCCACCATCCTCATCACCCTCTGCTCTCCCTCTCCCGCCTCTCCTCTCCTCAGTCTTGTCACTGCACGAAGGGTGGAGATTCTCCTTACAGCCTCTGTGCTTCGGGCTCTCACCTCCCTGGTGCTTGGCGCCAGGCTCTTTGGGTCAGGGAGTGAGGCCCTTGCCCTCTGGCCAGTGGGGGACTGTCAGTGGGCTCTGGCTGCAAAGGTGGTCCGTGACCGCTGCAGAGGGATCCATTCATCTCAGGGACAGGTTGGGCGGAGTGGGGGTGGGGAATGACTGTCCTTCCCCTGCCAAGACTGGACGTCCCCTCAATCTAGGCTGCCTTGGTCCAGCGGAGTTAAAGCAGGTTGGCTGTGTGTATTCTTGACCGATCAGAGATTGTGTATGTGTGTGTGTGTGTGTGTGTGTGTGTGTGTGTGTGCTCCTGCGCATGTATGTAGTCGTGTGCATGTGTGTGTGTGTGTGTGTGTGTGTGTGTGTGTGTGTGTGTGGAGGGAGGAATCTGCTCCCTCAGTTTACCCTACAAGTATAATTAGGCTGCTGACCTTTCCCTGCATTTGTTCCCCGCGAGACCCTCCCCAGCCCCCTTTTCCTCCTGGGGTCTCAGCTACTCTCCTGCTTCCCACCCACCGCTTCCCAGGCTGCAGGAATCTGACCAAGGATTCTGAATCTCACTGTTGGGGTCCTCCTCCCCCTCATCTCTCAGCTGTCACATTCCTCGTCTGGAGGCAGTCTATTGTGTTCAAGCCCCCAGTGATTGTCTTTTGTTTTCAAAACTTATTGAAGATGCTCAGAGCTGACTTGGGCTGTGTGTGTGGGGAGGTTTGGGTGACACCTGGGAGTGCTTAGGGGCTACTCTCTGAGCCCAGGGGTGTTGTTTCCAACAGTGCTGGGGATCAAACGGGGGTCAGTCACATGGAAGGCCAGCACCTTCCTCCCGGCACTAGTTCTCGGGCTCACAAGTGACTTTTTGATGAAAGTAAAACTATGACTTCTAGACTCTTCTCCCAGGGCCTTCTCTATGGACCTTAGGTAACTTTTTCCTTACATGTACCATCTTAGTCAACAAAGCACTCCAGACGTCCAGGCAGATGCTGAAAGTCCCCACATACAGAGATGGGGGTCCTGCACCCCAGTGGTCAGCTGACTCTTCTGAGTCCATCCTCAGATCTGAGAGGACACTTCCTGCCCTTGTAGCCCATTTCAGCAGTTGGCAGGCAGGTGGACAGAGGCCACCATTCTGCTTTAAAAAGAATGTGTCGGTGGTCTTCTGTGACAGCCTGGTGTGGGTGGCAGAGGGAAGGGAGGGGAAAGCAGCTTCTTTCTGAACCCGGGATTCTGTTTTTGTTTTTGTTTTTGTTTGGGGGCCACATCTGACAATGCTCAGACCTTACTCCGGGCGCTGCTCTCAGCTGTACTCCTAGCTGTGCTCAGGACACCATCCGGGATGCTGGGGATGGAACCGGGGTCAGCTGTGTGCAAGACAAGTGCCCTCCCCTATCCATGAGCCCCTCCCCTGCGCTTTGGTGTTTTGTTTGTTTGTTTTGCTCTTTGGGTCACATCCGGCAATGCTCAGGGGTTACTCCTGATTTTGGCCTCAGGAATCACTCCTGAGGGTGCTCAGGGGACCATATGGGATGCTGGGAATTGAACCTGGGTCGGTCACATGCAAGGCAAATGCCCTGCCCACCGTGCTATCGCTCCAGCCCCTCCCCTGAACTTTGAACCATCTCAATTTACAGGTGAGGGGACCTCCCTGCGAAATCAGTGACCTCTTCCAGGTCACAGGGATGGCCCAGCGTCCAGGCCAACAGTGGAGACGTGGTGCCCGGCGGGGTGCTTCGGACCCCAGCCCACGCTGAACGGCGGAGACAGGGTGGAGCCTTGGGTTATGGGGTTGCTGGCCCCCTGCCCCCACTCACTCTCGATGGTGTTGTGGTTGAGGTACAGGTGCTCCAGCTTGTTGTTGATGGCGGGCACACTGCTGATGCGGTTGTGGGCCAGCTGGAGCACCAGCAGGTTGGAGAGGTTGAAGGAGTTCTTGGGCAGCCCCTTGTCCGAGAGCTTGTTGTAGTTGAGGCGGATGAAGGCCAGGTTGGGGAAGCCCTTGAAGTAGCCGTTGGGGATGGAGTCGATCCGGTTGCTGTCCAGGTACAGCTGGTGGAGGGCCTGGGGCACCTTGGGCGGCATCTTCTTCAGGGTGTTGTTGGCCAGGTTGAGCTGCATGAGGCTCTTGAGGCCCTGGAAGGTGTCGGGCCGGAGCGTGTGGTCGCCGAGCTGGTTGTTCTGGAGGTCCAAGAGCAGCAGCTTCTCCAGCTTGCTGAAGACGCCGGGCGGGATCTTGGAGATGCGGTTCTGGCTCAGCCGCAACTGCTCCAGGTTGCGGGGCAGCGCCGAGGGCACCTCCTCCAGCTGGTTCTTCTCCATGTAGAGGAAGGCCAGGCGGGGCAGCCGCTCCAGCACCTGCTGGTCCAGCTTGCGGATGCGGTTGTTGTCCAGGTTGATCCACCTCAGCTCGGACGCGTTCCGGAAGGACTCCAGGGGCAGCTCGGAGATGAAGTTGTTCTGCAGGTAGAGGTAATGGATGCGGGCCGGGATGACGGGCACCTTCCGCAGGTGGCGGCTGTCGCAGTACAGGGCGGACGGGAAGTCATAGGGGCAGTAGCACTCCCGCGGGCAGTCGGGGAAGAGCGAGGGGGGCCCCGGTGGGAGGGGCGGGGGCAGCTCTGTCGGCTCTGGGGGCTCATGGGGCCGAGGGAAAGCGGGAGTTGGCCTGGGTCTGGGTTTGGGGGGCTTGGGCTTGGGTCTCGGGCGTCTTGTCGACTGGCCGTGAGCCGCAGAGGCCAAGAGGACAAGCGGGAGGAGCCAGCAGAGGGCCGACCTCATGGTCCAGGTGGTACCTGCGGAGAGGAGACACCGGCTGTTAGCCCTCGGGGCTTGGGGCCAGGTGCCCGCCCTGTGAGAGGGGGTCTGTGCAAACACCTCCCTGTGTGGGGCACCCCGTCACAGCCTTGAGGCACGTAGCCCAGAGGGCTGTCTCGGGGAGACGTGTCATTCTGGTTTTTTTTTTCCTTTTTGGGTCACACCCGGCGACGCACAAGGGTTACTCCTGGCTCTGCACTCAGGAATTACTCCTGGTGGTACTTGGAGGACCATATGGGATGCTGGGAATGGAACGCGGGTTGGCCGCGTGCAAGGCAAACACCCTAACCGCTGTGCTATCGCTCCAGCCCCGAGACGCGTCATTCTGACAGCAAGCACTTGGGATCGGGGCTGCTGGACAAGACCCCTACCCAACCTCACCCCCACCCCCAGCCCCGCCTCTCCCCACTTGCAGTGCGAGAAAATCAGCCTCACCCCATTAAAAGGCACGCCACAGAATAAGCCAGCCTGTCCAGAGGTTCCTTCGGAAGACTCCTCAGAGATACCATAAGAGCAATTTTCTTTTTCCTTCTTAAAAAAATTTGTTTGGGGGCTGGAGCCTTGTACACGGCCGACCCAGGTTCAATTCCCAGCATCCCATATGGTCCCCCGAGCACCACCAAGAGTAATTCCTGAGTGCATGAGCCAGGAGTAACCCCTGTGCATCGCTGGGTGTGATCCAAAAAGAAAAAAAAATTGTTTGGGGGCCACACCCAACTGTGCTCAGGAATCACTCCTAGTGGGGCCCAGGAGACCATCTGGGGTGCCAGGGATCAAACCCAGGCTCACTGTGTGCATGGCAAATGCCCAATCTCTGGACTATCTTCTCTAGCACCAAGAGTAATTTTAAAACAGTGTTCCCACTGGAGGCACCCTTAATGGAGGGAGCCTGAGAGGGGACATGCCCCCTGGGACTGCTCCTGTACTGAGTAGCTCTGTGATTTTTTTAAAACCTGCAACTTAGGGGGAGGCTTAGTCAAAGTCTTCATTTTTTAAAGAAGGGAAGCTGCCTTGTTAGACTTGGTTGGAAATCTGTGGAAATCTGAACGTAAGGCTTGAATCCAGGCTCTGGGGCTGAGTCCGCTGAGCGCAGACAAAGTCAGCCAGAGAGCTGCTGCAGAGTAGACCCCAAGATCAGGCCTCAGAGCCCCACTTGCTGCCTTCTGGAGGTCAGGGAGCTCCTGAGACGGGAGGAAAGCGCACCCCCTCCCCTGTGCCCCGGGCGCTCTGCCTCCCGCTCCTGCCCCTGTGCTTCTAGAGAATGGAGGGTCCTCCCAGCAGGAGAGGCAGCAGGAATCTCTCCCCAGGCGTGGGTCTCCAAGGAAGGGATAGAAGGCAGTGGGGTTCTCATTTTTCAGACCTGGGCTGGCTGTCCCCGTCTCTGGGAGCTGGGGAGGACGCGCTCTGAGAGACACAATAAAGAAACTCCCAGCAGCCTTGGGGACATGTGGGTGAGACTCCAGAGGGAAGTTTGGGGGCGGCCTTCCCATGGGCTCCCACTAACCCCCTCGGAGGTCACGTGTTACGTCGTTTGGGTTGAACTCAGCTAGAGTGTAAGACAGGAAGTGTAGGCAGGAAGCCCAGGTAGGAAATGTAGGCAGGAAGTCCAGATAGGAAGTCCAGACAGAAAGCGCAGGCAGGAAGCCCAGGCAAGAAATCCAGACAGGAAGTCCAGACAGGAAGTCCTTCCTGCCCCGTCTCCTCTGCATCCCGACACTCCTTCGCCTTCCTCCCATGGCTCTCTCAGGGCAGCCTTGCACCTTCTGGAGTTTCGGGCACACTGGGGATACAGGCTTCTTGGGAGTTTTTTTTTTTAAATTCTATTTGTTTATTTTTGGTTTGGGGCCATACCTGGAAGTTTTTAGGGCTCCCTCCTGGCTCTGTGCTCAGGAATCACTCCTGGCAGAACTCAGGGGACCCTATGGGATGCCAGGGATCAACCTTGGACTGGCCGCATGCAAGGCAAGCATCCTACTCCACTGTATTATTACTCTGGACCTGTATCATGGAGGGGGGAGGTGTTCTGAGCTAAGAGGGGCTGCATGTGTCTCCAGCTGCTCTGGGACATGAGGAGGCAAGGAGTTAGGTGGCAGGAAGTGTCAGGAGCTCGGAAGACCAAGATCTGAAGTGGAAAGAAGCAGCTGTTCTGTGGCCAGCCCCAAAGCACAAGGCAGGACCCCGAAAGGGATGCGGGAACTGAGGCCTGGTGAGACTCCGAAGACCGGATGCACCCCTCAGGAGAGGAGAGACTTCTGTGGGAACAAAAGACACCAAGAGCTCAGAGTTGTCCCAGGACAACGCAGTTTGGAAAAACCCAACGAAACCAAGTTTGCAAAAGCAAGCGGGGCTCGTGCCAACTTGGGATGTGTCATTCCTTTCTTTTGCTCTGTGGGTTTCCTTTTCTCTCTCAGATTTCCTAAATAAAATGACTTGACTTCGCATCTCTCCTCTGACAGTCTTTTCTGTGGTGAAGGACAAGAGTCACAGCCACGGAGTCTGACCCAGTGGAGAGGGACCAGACTCCTTTCCCCGTCTGATCCCGGACCGCACCCTTGAGGACAGGCGGATGACACTGGGGTGCTCGCCCCGGGCCCCGCCTGCCTTTTCTGGCCCAAACCTTCTCTGGCCTGAGCCCGCTCTGGCCTTGACTCCATCCTCGCCTCACCAGGCTGCCTTCTGCCCAGACTGCTGTGTGCACCAAGGAATACAAGAAGCCCCCTGAGGCATGCCAGCAGCTTAGCCCTGAGCCAGGCTCTTAGCAGCTGCTTGCGACAGCAAGGAGGGAGAGAGTCAGGCTCCAGTGCACACACACACACACACACACACACACACAGAGGCACACGCACACATACAGGTGCACACACAGGCATATGCACATATATGCTCCCATCTCTCTCTTTCTCTCTGTCTCTCTTTGTCTCTGTCCCTCTTTCTCTTTTTCTCTCTTTTTCTTTGTGTCTGTCTGTCTGTCTGTCTGTCTCAAACTCAGGTTCAGTGCCTGGTTGCTTGCACTGAGCTGGTATACCAACACAGGGAGGAAGTAGGAACCAGGGAAGGATGGGTGTCCAGCAGATAGGAGGACAGCGGGCACCATGCCCTGCATCCCTTTCCCCCACTCCTCTCTCCCTGAGACCCTCTTCGCCCCCCCCCCCCCCACGGTGCCAGGGCCAGCTTGACTCTGGCTACCCTTATCGAGGACCTTGAGTGAGACTCCTGCTCCGTCTCTGGGTGCGGATACTCGTCCAGGGGTGCTCTAACGAGCCGTGAGGGAACGTGCGGGTTGGAGCAGGAAGCTCTGGCCCACGCTCTGTGGGGGACGGGCAGTGAGTTGTCCACTCTGAGAGGCTTCGCCACCACATGGCCAGGCCTTCCGGATGGCGAGCACTGGTGTGCCGACAAAACCTTGTCTAGAAGCCCCAGTTTTTGTGCCCTTGAATTTGGGTGCATTTGAGCTTTTCTTCTTGTTTGGGTCCCCCGTGTTGGCCATCAGCCAGGCCTCCCTCATGCCGACAAGGTTGCCCAGGACCTTCCCGCCGGCAAGGTCCCTGTGCTGTCGTGCTCCCTGACTGCTCTGTCACCGAAATTCGCAGGCACTAGGTTCAAGGTGACGAGAGTCCTGGGGCTGGTCACCGCCCTGTCCAGGCTCAGAGGCACAAGGCCACGGGTCACTCTGCTCCTGTCCACAGGCCTTCCTCCTCCCACCTGGCAGCTGTGCCCGGCCCAGCTCCTCACCCCCATGCCCCACCCCTGCCCAGTCCCTCACCTCCCCCCGTGCCCCACCCCTGCCCAGTCCCTCACCTCCCCCCATGCCCCACCCCTGCCCAGCTCCCCACCCTCCATGCCCCACCCCTGCCCAGCCCCCCTTACCTCTCCCTAGTTCCCAGCTCCCTCTGACATTCCACAGGTCCCTCCCAGAGCCAGTGGAGGTTCAGGTCACTGTCCTTGGGGGAGAAAGATCCTTCCAGCTGCTGCTGGAGCATGCCCTGGCAGGGAGCCCCCAGCACAATCTTCATGATGCACCCATCCGGGTGTCCTGTTGCAAACTGGGGTCCCCTGCATGACAGGTGGGAGTCCCCAGATTCCAGCAGCCAGCCCTGCCCAAAGCATCCACTTTCCTGTGTGTCTGACTTCTAGAAGCTCTTGTCCAATCAGTCCCCTTAGAAGGGGTTCTAGGTGTGGAATACTTTAGTTTCTTAGACCTTGTGAGCACTCTGCTCCACCTCTCCCCACTGGGGGCTTGCTGGTCACCTACCACCAGCCAGGGCCAGCGTGGGCTCTCCCTGAGCAGCTGCTGGAGGAGGTGGCAGCTGCTGCCTTTCCCAATCCCCAACACCCCCAATTTATCTTCTCCCTCCCTCCCTCCTTCCCTCCTTCCTTCCTTTCCTCCTTCTTTCCTTCCCTCCCTCCCTCCCTCCCTCCCTCCCTCCCTCCCTCCCTCCTTCCTTCCTTCCTTCCTTCCTTCCTTCCATTCTTCTTTCCCTTCTTCCCTCCCTCCCTCCCTCCCTCCCTCCCTCCCTTCTCCCTTATGCCCTCCCTCCCTCCCTCCCTCCCTCTTTTTTTGTGTTTGTTTTTTTTGTTTGTTTATGGTCATACCTAGCTGTACTTAGGGCAGACTCCAGGCTCTGTGCCCAGGGATCACTCCTGGCAAGCTCAGGGGACCATCTGGGGTGCCAGGGATTGAACTCAGGTCTGCCATGCAGAAGGCAAGCGCTCTGCCCTCTGTCCTATCTCCCCAGCTTCATCCCCAATTTTTTTTGTTCACTTAACAATGTTTCCAACATCTTGGAGGAGAGGATTTGAATCATATCCAATGGTGCTTAGGGGCTACTCTCAGCTCTGCTCAGGGCTCACCCCTGGCAGTACATGGTGTCTGGATTAAGCTGGGGTTGGCTGCATGCAAGGCAGAGAGAGTTTACTCCGTATTCTAACTCTCTGGTTCTTTCCTAAGAGAGTATTTAATTCCTTTTTCAGTGTTGGAGATTGGGACCGGAATCCTGGCTGTGACCTTGTTCAGGCCTCAGGCTGCTCATCTGAATGAGACCCAAATGAGACCACCCAAGGGGGCATGTGAGAGGGTGTCAGACTTGTTTAGAAATGAGCTGGTTCTGCACCACGCTGGCCTCTAAAGGGACAAAGCCACGACCAGGTCAGCGTCTGGAGTCCACTCCTTCGAGGTCCCAAGCCCGGCCTGAGCAATAATCCAGTGGCTGGGCTGGTGGAGGGAAACATCAGGTCCTTGGGAGCGAGTTTAGGGACCCAGGGAGGGGAGGGAGGGGCACTAAGACTGGTTTCTCCTCACCTTCCTCACATCCTTCTCCGCTTTCCTGTCGAGGGGGTGGGCCCTGCCTCCCCACATCTTCAACTGGCCCCTATTCTGGTGCGGGGAGAATCGGGTCACCCCCACCCAGAACCACCCCCACGTCCATGAGGAGACCCTGTCTTTGTTCACTCTTTCTGCTCTGAAACCAACTTGGGGTGGGGGGCTGTTCCTTCTTTCTCTTCCTCTAAAAGGGAGTTGGACTCTGGTTACCTGCTGAGTGGAGCTCGGGCCCAGCCAGGGTCTCTTATGAGACCCCCAAGTTCCACTGCTGCAGTGGGTGCATGAGAAGATGAGAAGGAGGGCAGCAGGGGAGGGGGGGAGGTGTGCGGAGAGCATTATGGTGCCCCTAGACAGGGGACACGTGTCCCCTTCCTGCCTGGGGCCCTGTCCCTGGGCCAGCCTCGGTGTAAACTCTGAAGCACAGAAGTAATAAGCCCCTCCTGTTCCTCTAGTCCTTGTCAGAAGCGAGTGCAGTCTGCGACTTCAAAACGCACACAGATCACAAAGCACCAAAAATAAATCTAACACTATTGTGAGACCATCTGTCCCGCAGTCTACCACCAGGCAGAGTGTAAACAGAGTGAGCTTCCTTGGCCTCGGGCTACCAGTCCAGACACGCCAGTTCCCAGGTTCAGTGGGGACCCCGGAGATGGGATCACAGGGGGTGAGGGCTGAGATGGAGATGGGGCTGCCCCTTGTGCTCTCTGTGTCCACCCCGAGCAGCCCCGGCAATCCCAGCTCTGCAGGAAGGCCCGGAAGGAGCTGTTGGGGGTGATGGTCGTGGGACCCAAGTTCCAGTGCTCAGCACCAGGCTGCTTAGTGGGATTTGATGGACGTCAACTTATTCCTTAGTATGGGGCGGGTTTCTGCACCCTGGACATCTGGGGTTCCTGTAGGCTGGGGTTGGCAGGATGCCCCTTCTGCCCAACAACATTCTCCAGAACCAGCGAGACCCTGGAAACTCCCATCCCCTCCTCAACCCTCCCGCTCCCAGGTACCTCTCTTGATCCAAGTCCCTGAGCCTGGCCCTGGGCCTGTCTGCGGAGATGCACGTGTCCTTCTGTGACCAGGCCGTGGCCTCGCCTGCTCCTGACCCTGCAGCTCTTCTCCATAAAGCTGCCAGGACACAACTGCTGGACAGGACAGGCTTCCAGAAGGGACATGGCACCCTGGGGGGTGCAGGGCGGGGGATTCACAGAAAGGAAACAAGAATCTTTGGGGCAACCTCAGAGAAATGATCTTTCTGGAATGTTCCTCATGAGACTCTAGCATTTACAAGAAGGAGGAGACAGTTCACAGGAGGTTTTCATGGCCCCTGACGGGGAGTGGGGTGGGCGGAGGGAGGGGGGTCAGGTCTCAGACTTACTTCTCCAGAAAAAAAAAGGAAGCAACTCCCTGCAATCTTTCTAGCCAGCGAGCCCTTGTCCAGAAGGCCACACAGCCCCTGCAGGCCACCCCGCTAACAGCCCTGGGCTGTCTAGGCTCCTGACCAGGTCTCCCCGCCCAGTGTGGCCACTGGAATATTCTCAGGTCTTGAAACAGTAGATCCCCCCATCTCCTACATTAGTAAGTTTGGAGTGAGGGGTCCGGACGGTTATATACATGATGATTACATGAGCTTGGTTTGGGGCGCACAGCCAGCCCCGGGGGTTACTCATGCATGCAATGCTGGAGGCCCACATGGTGCTGGGGGGTTGAACCCAGGCCCTGAGCATCTCCCCAGCCCAAGCTCCTCCACTGTAGTGTGCACCCTCCTCTTACCCCCATTCCCTCTCTCCTGCCCCCAGGTGCCTGCAGCCCTTTGGGGGACTGATCCCCTCCCCCCCACCCCCCCTACCTTGCTCCACCTGCCAGGGGCGGCCTGCTTTTGTGGGAGAGGAATGGGTGGAGGGGAGAGAGGCAGCCAGTCCAGGACAGTTCCCTCCCCACTCAGCTCCCCTCCCTGGCCAGGAATGGGCAGGGACCATGTTTGCTCTCGCTGCCCCCAGGACCCCTGGCCAACCTTGGGCCAGTTCCAAAAGGGCTTTCAACAGAGATTTTTCCTGGCTGACTGCGCGCAGAGCGGGCCCTGGGAGGTGCCTCCGGGGAGCTGGTGGCTTGCTTGCTCCCTGCCCTCCCAGAGGCAGAGGGAGCTGGGGGGAGGGGGGCAGGCGGCTGCAGGTTGGACACTGTGGTGTGTGCTCCTCCCTCCACCCAGTGAAGCTGGAAGGAACTGAGAATCAATCCCAGGCCTCTCCACCCTGCTCGGCCTCCACTCAAGACACATGATTTTCTTTTGGCTCTGCCACTCAGCAGGAGACGCAGTTTCCTACAGCTGGGAAGGCGTGCGTGTGCATGCGTGTGTGTGTGCGTGTGCGTGTGCGTGTGCGTGTGTGTGTGTGTGTGAGGGCACGCGTGAGACAAGATGCAGGGCGCGTACGTGAACGGGCGTGCGTGTGCGTGACTCTGGTCTAGCTCTGTCCCCAGGTGCGGGGTGAGTGGAGGTGAGCAGACACCACGCTCCCTCTCGCGTGTACCGACGTGGGGAAGGGATGGAGGGGAATGTGCACACGCCGCCGAAGACTCGGCCACAGGATGTGAGCACTGCAGATAGGGGCGCTGCAGTCTAGTTTCCATGGAAACACCTGACCTGCAGAAACATCCTCGCATGCAGCCCAGCTCTCCTTGCTCCTACAAACATCTGCACCAACCAAGTTTGACTTGGGCCACCAGCAAGTGCCTGGATAGCATCTGGAGAAAGAGACCGAAAGGGAGTCTAAAGGAGGAAGAGAGGGATGAAGGAGAGGGAGGGAGGACGGGGCAGGAGAGAGGGAAGGAAAGAAGGGAGGGAAGGAAAGCCAAGATGAGATCTAGGTCTGGTTGCACAGAGCAGGGGAGATCCTGGGGACCCTGCCGTCCCCTCTCCCGTGGGGCTTACCTGCTCGCACCTGCCTCTCTCCTCAGCGCTGGTGGGTTTCGTGCCCGGCCAGGCTCCCTCCTCTTCCTCCCCCACCTCTCAGCAGAGCTCTGGCAGCACGGACCAGCGAGGAGTTCTGATCGCTGGTGGTGTGTGCATGTGTGTGTTTGCCTGACTTTTCCACCAGCCCCTACTGGGGTGGGGAGGTGAGGTTAGGGGAGGGAGGGGCAGGCCGGGAGGGAGGGCAGGGAGGAGGGAGAGCGGGAGGGAGCTTGGGAAAGGAGGAATGACAACAATAAACGCTTTATTTGGCAGCCAGGCTCCCAAGACTTCAGGCGCGCTCCGTGCCCGCGAACGGGCTCGTGTGTTTAATAACATTTCCTTCTGCCGCTGCTCCTTCTCGAGGGGGTGGGGGTGGGGGGGAGATTGTTTGACCCATGTTTGGAAAACAAGCCAAATTAATGGAGGAAAAGGCATGAAAAGCAAGTTCTGTGCAGCCAGAGCCGGAGGGCTGGGTCGAGCCCAGCCCTTCATTCCTCGTCCCAGTATGGCCTGGCTTCTGACGCCTATCTCAGAGCTGGTGTGACATTCCCGGACGACTTGCCCTAAGCTGCCTTCTCCAGGAGGCGTTCAAGGGAGTCTTCGGGCTGTGAGCTGCTCAGAGGCAACTCCAGTTAGGGTGTCTGAGGGGTGCCCTGAGGACCAGAGAGGGAAAAGTCTGGTTTGGAGTCACACAGCAAAGGATGGCAAGTCAAAGATCTAAAGTCACTGTTGTGGGCTCGTGTGGAACATGACACTGTCTCCTTGAAGCTTCTCCACATACAGCTTACACACAGGAGGTTTGGGGTCACAGAACAAGAGGAGGGGTTCAAGTGTCCTCCCCTTGGGTCTCCAGAAGAGCACTTGTGTAAGACCACATAGCCAGGAGCAATTCTCCATCGAAAAGCCACAGTCCTGCCGCGTTAAGTACATAGTACTACGGCAATAAGTTCATAGTACTGCAACATGAGGTTCATAGTACTGCAGCATAAAGTTCATAGTACTATGGCATTAAGTTCATAGTACTGTCTTTAAGTTCATAGTACTGCGGCATAAAGTTCATAGTACTACGGCATTAAGTTTGCAGTACTGTAGCAATAAGTACATAGTACTGCTGTATTAAGTACATAGTACTTAATGTGGCCTTAAGTACATAATACTACAGCATAAAGTTCATAGTACTATGGCACCAAGTTCATAGTACTGTGGCATTAAGCACATAGCACTGCAGCATTAAGTGGCCTTGGAAAAGGCACCAATGTCCTAAGAGCAACTGAGGCCTGTGTGGTGGTGGTTGGGGGGATCCTTGTCACTGCCCCCCTGCTGGGGGAGGTAGTGCTTTGCGCTTGGTTGCTCACCTGCTCTCCTTTGGGCAAGTCACCTATCACAGGGGCCCTGGATTTCCTCCTGGGGGTGGGAAAAATGCCCGGGGTGGCATCCACAGGGCAGCACGTTCCTGTCCAGGAGGATGTCTGGAGGATGTCCGGGCTGTGGGGAGGGGTGGTCGCTGAGGGGTGGAGAGCAGCTCAGCAACTGCCCTCCTCCCTGCACACACCCCGTTGCACCCTCTGCGGGTGAAGCTGGGCTGGGAACCCCCACGGATCTGCATAGAGCCCCATGGGCCCCAGAACAGAACAGAAGTGAACAGGTCCCGTCTGGCTGCAGAGGCGACCGTGCAGCTCAGATCAGCCTCTTTCCCGCGGGGTGGCTGGAGGTGGGTGGAAGAGAGAAGGGCAAGATCCAGTAAGGGCAGAGGACAGGTACACTCGGGTGGGAGGGGTCAGACAGGGTGCAGGGTGGGACACCCCATTCCTGGGGGAGCCTCTTGGGGCTGCGGGAGCTCTACCCCACGAGCTGGATGCCCTTCCTCTGCCCGGCCTCCTCCAGGCTGTGCCCAAGCCTGGAGTGAAGTTCAAGAAGATCGGGCCGAGTTTGCAGCACTGTGCCCTGTGGCCTGCAGATGCCTGCGGGTCCCAGACGGGATTGGGAAGTGCCTGCAACCGAGCAAGAAACCTTTGATGAAAGACAGAAAATGCCCATGAATGCCCTCAGATCAGAGTCTGCTCAACCCCCCATCCCCAGCACCCCCACACCTGGCTGCAGCAGTCCCGGACCCAGCCCAGCTCCATCCACCCACACTCCCACCCCCATGAACCCCATTGTGTATTTTGAAGCCAGAGTAATTTTGGGGAGGTGTGCGTGGAGGCAAGTCAGGCCAGTGTACCAGCCAGAGCTGCCCCTGGCCTCTTGATCAGGATTTTAAAAAAAGAAAAGAAAAGAAAAGAAAAGAAAAGAAAAGAAAAGAAAAGAAAAGAAAAGAAAACTTGGCTCCTGTAGACAGAGAAAGCATGTCCTTGTTTCACAGAACGTAGAATTGGGGATCCGGCTGGCCCTAGTGGCCAAGGGCCACTACAGAGACCCCTGCTTGGAGGCCAGCCCTGGGGAGAAAGGGCTGAAGCCGGGCTGCCTCAGAGGATCAAGGAACCAGAAATAAGAGGAAAAAAGATAGGGCCGGGTCTAATGACCTCATAAACTGAAAGCCCCAAATGCCCGGCACACGCAGTATTTTTTTTTTTTCTTTTTAATTGAATCACCATGAGATACACAGTTACAAGGTCGTTTATGATTGGATTTCAGTCCTATAATGTTCCAGCACACATCCCTTCACCAGTGCACATTCCGTGCTACCAATGTCCCTAGTATCCCTCCCAACCACCTCCCCACCAGCCACCCCCACCCAGCCTGTCTCTGTGGCAGACTCTCTTTCTCTGTCTCTCTCTGTCTCTCTCTCTGTTTCTCTCTCTCTGTTTCTCTCTCTTTCTCTCTCCCCTCTCTCTGTCTGTCTCTGTCTCTGTCTCTGTCTCTGTCTCTCCTCATGCATCATGCAGTAGAACCAGTAGTCTCTAGGAGAATGACATTCCCTGGTGAGATGCCTAACTATCTTAATCCATCTGGGCTAAACTTGACACATTGGGGGCCTCAGGATACGGGACAAACACCCTCATCACGGGCTCACTCCGGGCTGCTTCCTGGATGGAGCAGAGCGGGCTCCCCAGAGACCCCCTCAGTGGTTCCCCACATGGCCCGGGTTGGCCATATCAGGTTCCTGGAATCGGCGCATTCTGCCTTTCTCCTGGTTTTGTCTTAATCTTTGGTTCCCAACTTCCACTGCCTGCCCAATTCCATGGGGATCCATCCCAACACCCCACCCGCACCCCATGCCCATAACAGGGCTTTTTTTCTCTGCCCACCTACCTAGGATCAAATTTAGCTTATAAATGAGGCACAAGAAGGGAGGAACAACAGTAACTCACAACAAACTGCGACACTTGTAAACCACAACTATGGTCCAAGTCAGTGAATGTTGCCTCTTCACTTCCTGCTGCAGGGAATATTTTACCCATGGGACCTGATGGGGGTGGGGTGGGGGAGAGTCGGAGCTGCTGAAAATGGGCCAGGCTCGGGCCAGGCTCAAAGGGCGGAGTGCAGGTTTTGCATGCAGGGGCTCCGGGTTCCACTCCCTGCACCTCATGGTCCCCCAAACTAGGAGGGGAGTGACCCCCAAATGCAGAGCTGGAAGCAGCCCTCAAACACTGCTGGGTGTGCCAAGGACACAAAAAGTGAACCCAGGGAGAGGAGGACTCCATCGGCTCTGCTCTGTGGCTCCCCCTCTCAGATCTCAGGGCACCCCAGGGAGCAGCTTCACCCCAAGGGAGATGTCGATTGCTGCCTGCACAGAGTGGTGACATGAAGCGGGTTCTGGGGAAAGTGGTAGAAAAACAGGCTTTGCCGCCAGGTTGGGGCAGTGGCTAGCCTTGGGCTGGGGGCTGGGCTGGGGGCAGAGGGAGAGGCTGGGATTGGGGACGGGAGCTGGGCCACCGGGGAGGGGCAGGCGGGAGAGCCAGGGGCCATGGCTGAGGGCCATGGGTGGCCCAGCCACGTTGAAGCCCCCGGCATGGTGACTGTGGTCTTGTGCGGGCAGTGAGTGTCCAGGCCAGGGAAGAAAGGGCTCGATTGTGGGTCCCTCGAAACCCACTCGCTGGCTGCCGGGAAGGAGCCGGGGGAGGGGGTGGCTCTGGCCAGGCTCAGACTCTGGGGCGCTCAGCAGGCCCCGAGGAAAGGCCCAGGCAGACGCAGGAGAGGTGGGACCCTGCGGTCAACTTGCCACGGTTCAGCCTGGGGAGAAGGGCCGGGGGCTCCCGGGGGCTCCCGGGGGAGGAGGCTCCCAAGCTCGGGGCTGGGGAACAGGGAGTCTCTGTCCTCTGTGTGTCCTGGGGAGCAGAGACAGGCGTCTGCTGTGCTGGGCAGAGCCCACAGCCAGAGACTTCTCCCAGGGGACCCCCTCTGCCAGGCGCCCTGTCCCCTCCTCGTGGCAGCCAGCCCGCTCCCCTCCCTGGCACGCCCCACCCCCCTCGACTCTTCATGGATTCTTGGGCCATCTCCCCTGATTTGTAAGGCAGAGGCAAGTCCCCCAGGGTCCGGGGTCTGCCTCCCCCTGCCAGGAGGGTCTTGCCCATCTCTGGCCTCCAGAATCAGCCTCAGGCCAGGCCCTGCTCTCTCAGACCAGTGTCCAACCCATGAGAAGGCTTAGAAAAATCCCTTCAGGCCTGGAACCCCCGCCCCGTGCGGGGACCCCAGATGGGCGAGGGTCCCCCCACGAGCCTGCTGTTCTCTAAGCTCACACATCTGTGGGGGCTCTCACGGCCTCTCCATGGACACCTCACAGTGTCTCCTGACCCGACCCAGTCAGGGGCATTTCCTCTCTGGGGGAAAACCTCCTGGACCCCCTGGCTCTGCCCCATACCCTGCATCTCTGCTCAGACCCTCCCCTATTCCTCATGGGGATAGGGAAGTCTCCCCAGAGGGAAGGAGGGGCAAGACATGGGCAGGACTGCTGGAGCCCAGCCCCCATCTGGTTCCTGTTGACGATCTCATGTAGAGGACCAGATACAAATTCTTAGAACGCATTCAAGGGGCCGAGGGCACAGCAAGCAGGACACTGGCTTTGCATGCAGCTTACCCCCGTTCAGTCCCCTGAGCCCCACCAGGAATGATCCCTGAGCACAGAGCCAGGAGTAAACCCTGAGCACCATCA